ATCCATCTTTTGTGGCTATGCTATCTTTTCTTTAAAATAAAGTAATCTTTCAAATATTATATCGTAAAGATCCATCTTTTGTGGCTGTGCTATCTTTTCTACTGCGTCTCGTCCGCTATTCTTCTACTGCGGCTGCAGTTCATCAATATTTTACATGTTCCTATTTTTTTGTTCCTTCAATTCGCTATCCTTCCTTTTTATATGATTTATCATTTGTGGCTTATGATTACTCCTCCTAATTGCTCTTATTGTTGAACTTGATAAACTGGTTACTAAGCCACATCGATCAACTCCCAACTTGATCTATTGGTTCTCCGCTAATCATTTAATAAACATTACATCATGTAGATCATTCCTTCTCCTAAAAGTTTATCCTTTCCGGTTAATTTTATCCAATCATGTGACTTTCTATAATTAGATCTTTTATTCCATATTATTCCTCCATATTATGCGATTACTTCAGTATCTATGGCTACAACGTAACATTAATCACTGAACAAAAGTGCGAAATAAATTAATCTTATAATTTTTTTTTATTATTTTTGAGCAAATAAGTGAAATAATCATATTTTTTTGGTGTTTTAGAAAGATTTGGAAAGGTTTTGAGTTTTGGAAAAGTTTGGAAATTTCAGAAAAATTTAGGTATTTCAGAATAGTTTCAGTATTTTGGAAGAAGTTTCGGAACTAAACTAAAATTCGAAACAGTTTCAGAATTTGTAAACAGTTTCGGGTGGCACCATTACTATCAACTTCTTTATACATTTCCTGTTGAACATAACACATTAGATCTTTTGATATCCAAAAAGCTAACTTGCACTGTACATTTCCAGTATTCCATAATAATACTTACCATTATATATTTAAAAATTTTTACCGTTGACTTTAACTTTTTAATATAAGCCAATTTGGTAAGTACCTCAAATATTATCCCAGAAAAAATAACATAAAAGTCATTTATTAAGTCTTCTAATAACATCTGCCTATAAACGCCAGAAATTTGTAAAAAAGGGATCTTCATTTTATCCACTTGCTCCTTAGTTAAGTTTAGCCTCAAAATGTTAATTGATTTACTTTGGCAGAATGACAGCGATCCCTAATCATTTTTGCATTAATACAATGTGGTGAAAATTCCTATTTACCAAAGTTTATCCTTGAAGAACTTAAGAATCAGACGTCACATTTCTGTCCCTTTTCATAACTTGTAGATCAGCTCATAGGACAAAAAGATTCTCCTCTGTGAATAAATTTATGATTTATATATTAGCTAGAATTAAAAAACCAAAAAAGTATGCTTAGTTACCATTTGCAATTTATTCTGAGGCCTTTCCTTAATCCTTTCACAATATAAGAGCATGTCTTTATGATAATGTCTATTTCAGTGTAGCCCTCTCCACAATCTAACAAATCATCACCATCTTTTACTTTGAAAAGACTATGAAAGCAAATAAAAGACAAATCAAGATAAGCTACAAATATTAAATACAAATAAAGTAAATACATACAATTCACTGTATATCTTTCTTATTTTATAAATACAAGTATTGTTTAATGAGTTGGTATGCTTCTCAAGACAATATTTGTATGCCTCATTGGATCCTTTCTTCTGTACCATCTAGGTGCAGTAAAAATCACGTGATTCAAAAATCAGATGATTAATTAGTAGATCAATCATTATGTAATCAAATAATTTTGTAGATCTGATTAAAAGGGAAAAAAAACTCTTTCCCCTTTTTTTATTTTTGANTAGATCAATCATTATGTAATCAAATAATTTTGTAGATCTGATTAAAAGGGAAAAAAAACTCTTTCCCCTTTTTTTATTTTTGATAGTTTTCTGCAGTAATTTTGTGCAAGTTTTTTTTTTTAGTTTCTATTTGAAATGCCAAAGGGGAAGAGGCCCAAACGGGCGCCTCTGTCTTATACGAGGTTTTTTCTGTTCTTATTATTATAACCTATATCATAAAGGAATATGGCTTTTACACCTTATATCGAAATAGACTGGTCTCCCACTTCACAACAACCATATCCTCAACTCGGTGACCCAACACCACCTGAAAATGACTCAGATAAAATATTACATAATACTGAGCGTCCAACGGTACTTTCTGCTAAGGATATTCTTTCCCTTGATATTGATGATATTTATCCTTATACGTACTCAACTCTTCATCTTAAAGACGATAAAACAGAAGAATTCTATGATGATGAAGATGATTATTTTGAACAGTTAGCTAAAGCTAAAATAGAAGAAACTAGCTATGGAGGAAATGATATACCTTCAGTTTCTAGCGCTCCTATCACTTCCACACAGGACAATATTCCTTTATCGCCTTAAGACATTACATCTATCACAAAAAATTTACTCAAAGACCAGAAAAAAACTACCCTTTCAGTTTCCCTGAAAAAATTTCACGTGACTACACTAAAATGATCAGGTTATAACAAGATTTATGAAATCCACCGATCGAGAAGATTCTTTTTTGAGCTTGCTGATCACAAGCAAAATACCAATGACATTCATTTAACAATACACACAAATGATTATCATATGAATACTAAACCGATTAGTTATAATAACACAAGTCCTTTCCTCAGCCACAAACACCAGATTAGCTGTATGCTTACACATTTTTTACCTTACAAAGAGTTCTTCCTCGCTGTGTACAAGATAAATATTTTAATTTTCTCCGTAACAAATTATTGGATAGAATTAACATTATAAAATCACGTGCAATTAGCACAGCCAATAGAAATTATTCTACAAAGACATTTTTTAACTTTACTTATAAGAAACGATGCTTTTATTTTGGCATATACATTCTCTGCCCTCACATTAATGACCCTAAACACTTTCATAAAGATACATAATGTGGTATTCCTACTTCCTTTGTCATGTCACACAATAAAGCACATGCATTACTCATCAACACACTTCGCAAAAACACAGTGTTTCAATAATATTAAACAAAAAAATTTACAAAATTCAGAATCAACATTAACAGACTTTGTTAACAATAAGTCCTCCCATGCTAATTTATTATATTACAGATAGCTCAAGGGTAAAACCAAACGTATTACCTCTAGACGACTGGGTATTTCATACGATAGCAATATTCATGCTAGAGATTCTCTTTCTATCACTAAACGGGTAACAGACATATGTACCAAAAATCTTTGTCCAACTTCCGATATGAATTGAGTTCTAACTTACAGACACAAAAACAACAAGAAATACGTTTTAAATGCACCTGCTATCGTATATTTAATAAGATGCAATTACCATCTAATCGCAAAGCTAAAAATCAAGATTATTTGGCAATAGTGCGCAAATATTGTTTTTTATTTTTGAAATCTCAATATGTGAAAGCACCTATTCGATATTTATTGTACAAACAACCTTATACGATCCCAAACGCTAATGACTATCCGTTCTTGGTCCCCTTTTTTGTGGTGGATTCATATCACAAGAAATAAATCTGGACTAAATTTAGTCAAATAGATACAACACCTTCTGCACCACCTTCTGATTACAACCCGATTCCAGATGTATTCATACCTACAAAATATCATGATATTATACTAAAGGACCCAATATACGTAAATAATCGTTATGTAGTTCCTGGATTTCATGAGTGATTCACCTATATGTATAATGTTGATAAATCTTTTTATCCACTAGAAGATAAAACTGCACGCTACAATAGAAAAGGCAAATACATTGTGAGACGTCCAATATACCGTACACAATTTAGTGATGAATATATACCTACTCATATTGTAGAAAAAAACTCAACAGCAAAGAATTGAAAAATTAAAGGCGGATGCTTTAATAAAAGAGGCAACATATCATGGTACAACTCCCAAACATTACTACTCTCATACAAATACTGTCACATCTTTAACGAATGCATCAGATAGTTTTTATAGTCGCATGCCTAATTATTTGGCAAAGAGAAAAGAGAACCACGAATACAGTTTTAGCAATGCTACGCTAGATAAAAATCTTAATAAATTTCTCAAGAATAATAAATAATAATCTCCAAACTCAAGGAGCTATGTGATTTCCTACACACCCACACGCTGAGGTATCTAACGATACAGCTGAAATTGAATACCGCCCATACAAAAGGGATAATGCTCATAATGATTATCATTAGTATTTGCCATTTCTGGATCACAAAATGAAATGACTCCATCCTACACCAGTCACCACTGATGACTCCCTGGTTACAGAACCTTCAAGTTCCAAGACCGTTTAATTTATATATATCATATATATTAGTATTCGCAATATTAGGTGTACGATACCCTTATCCAGTAGATTTATCTACATTTTTGTTCTTTTTTTGTTATCATACGTATAACACAACTTAAAATAGTGTGAACCACTCCACATCTTACAGTATTCACAGGTGGCAACCTTGATTGAAAGGAAATTACGGATCATTATTTTTTTTCTAATTTTGATTGTTTTAAATAGTAGCTAGTCTCTCAGATGGTTTTTTTATGGTTCCCATTTGATTTATTAGCATAGTCCTACTTTATCTAATAGTACAGATCGAAGAGTGTGGTCTTGTAGGGATGACGAACAAAGTTCTATACACATATATTAGTTTTAAGTCTTTTTGAACTCTTTCTTCTTTTATTTGTAATAGTCTGGGTTCTACCACTCTTTTAGTAATAAAATAACTAAATAAATAAATAAAGTAGATCTGATTAACGTTTACAATTATTTTTGTTATTTATATTATTTATGTTATTTTTATTATTTTTATTATTTCTTTTATTTATTATATTTATTTTATTTATTTTATATATTTTATTTATTTTAGTTATATTATTGTCTTTATATTTTATTTTCATATAAATATCTTTTGATTTTTCTTGAGTTAAGTTAGTGTCGAATAGGTAGAAATAGAGAGATCGAAGTGTGTTAAGTTTAGTTAGTATAAGTTAGAGATTAACTTATATTACTATTCAATAAACTCTTATATTAAAAATGAACTGTGATTGTGTTATATTTTGTGTATTGTATTTTTGCATGTCTTGCTGGTATAAACTACATTATAGCTATTGTCTCCCTAATGTTTAGTTATAGTTGACAGAGTCTGAGACGAACCTGTTAACAATGTATAAAAATGGAAATTTTTGTAAGTTGAACCAACTATACATAATGCACATTTACAAATGTACCTTTTCTACATCTGCAATGAACGCATTCATCTCTTCATCTAATGCAGGAACCGTTAAGACTGCTATGTGATTTTTCATCATGTGCTGAAACAGAAAACCAATTTCGCATATGCATCAAGAGATCTATGATCTCTGACATACCATATCTCAAGGTGGATCTCTCCACTGGACTTAGTGTTTTCTTTTTTTTTAAGACTTCTGCACATTGAGATATATTTACAAAGTAAATTTCTTTAACAAAATTTCCTGAAGGTAAATCCCATTTTTGTGTATTAGTTGGCATAGAACTTAGAAAACTGTTTAAATCAGGGATTCCTCATCATCATCATCATCATCAAATGTCATTTGTGAAGAAGAAAAGCTCACTTCATCACTGTCTCTTGCTGGAATGAAATTCAGTTGTGGTGGTGGCTTTGGTAGTACTGTACCATCAGGAAGGATGCTTCCAATTTGTAAAGGAACTTTCACTTCATCACTATCACTTGGTGGAGTGAAATTCGATTGTGGTGGAGTTGATAGTGCTATATCGTCAGAAAGAATGCTTCCAATAATGCTCACTTCATCACTACCACTTGGTGGAGTGAAATTCAATTGTGATGGAGTTAGTATACATGTAATTTTGCACAAGGGGAAAGATTTTCTAAGATTGGAAAGGCAGGTTTTCAAGTAGTTTTCATATAAATACAAAAAATTGGTTTTTTGGTAAAAAAGAGCTTTTTTACATCAATAAAACTTTAAAGAAAAAAATATTAAACTAATAGTAAATATATTATTTTTAGCCATAATTTTATAAAAGAAACCAATTTTATTAAGGTAATAAAGCCAACTATCAATTATATTAATCTATCAAAAATTTTCTGTTTTTGTGCACATTTAACAAACCTTTTCTTTTTTTTTTGAAAAAAAGAGTATTGGTGTATAAAGGAGTTAAAAATGTAAAAAATTCTATTAATCATTCATGGCTATAAATATATGGAGATTTTCAGATGTACATTGTGTAACCATTTACTGTACAACAAAATTTATTTACTACGGCAACATCAACCCTATAAAAAATTTATCCATTATTTTCGTAAAAGCTCTGTAGAGATGGGCCTTTCACGGAAAATGTAAATAATTTGATAAATTCCATGATATAAGGCTATTCATTCTGGAAATATGAGCCCTTTATGGAAAAAAGATGGAATATAAAAAACGGATCAACTTTTTTTACAGGGATTAATCGTTTTTGGCGTAAAATAGCTGTTAGAATTTTATGCAGGAATATTCTGGATTTTAAAAGGTCTTATCAGCTATGTTCATTAAGGGTGGCAAGTACATTAATTGCTTGTATTCCCAATGAATCAAAAGAACTTTTATGCAAAAATGTAATTTTCATTTAACCACTTACTTAAAATTCACCATTGTTTAATTATTCAGGATTTTGCGAAGTCCTTTCAATTAATGGATTACTTTAATAACTGATGATGTCTTAAATGATAGAAATAGTTTAGTGAAATAATTATTAAGTCAAAAGTATTTTGTGAATTAAAAAAACTATAAATTGTATAATATGATAAGTATTGAAGTATTTAAATTACCGTGTCACTTTCATTGCACTAATATTAGAATCATGTTTTGTTTAGTTAGCGTTATCTGTTCATCAAATGATTTAATTTTTATAGGAATGTGAAAAGGAATATAAATTCACTCATCATACCTCGATTGCAGATGTAGTGACTAAACATGGATGCATCATGTTGTAATAGTAATAATAGGTAGGCATATGCAAGACGTTTCTAATGATGATTTTTTTTTTGTGTTAACTGTTAAGAGATAGAGGATGAATTAAGGGTTTAGAAAGTTAAAGTGATGTTGCAAATAAAAAAGTTATTATATTTTTAGAGGTAAAAATAATTAATTGACTTTATTTTTGGTTAATTTTATAGTTATATGGCTGGAAATCTATATAATTATTACATTTTTGGATTTGACCCTTATTATACTATATAATACAGTAATATACCGTGCTTTTTAATATTCAATATTTTTGTTTTAATTTAAATCGGGCTGATCAAATATTCCTAAGTGAAGGGGCGTGATAAACTGAAGTTCAATCAACTAAAATCGTGAACGGACATTTTCAAATGTGTACAAATAGGTATTACCAATTTGTTACCAGTACATTAGACTTCTCTGGCCAAATTTTTCAATGCCAGTCAACTCTTCTGGGAGCTGGGTGTAACTCTACATACGCGATAAATGTAATACAGTAAATTAGTTAATTCTAAAAATACACTTGTTGGACGGACATTAGGACAAATTAAAGTTAAACCAAGTCTTTCAAAAATCAATGGAGTATGGTGTGCTATGGATTTTTGAATTGATCACATCATTTACATGATAATTTGTATACTATTTTTTAAAAAAAACTAGAGCTGTGGTTTTAGGCCAGGCCAGCCCTTTCAAAGCGTTATAATAAAATAACACACATGAATAGAATGAGCATTTCTTTCTCTTAAAAAATTATTTTTGTGTTTCTAATCATTTTTAAAAATCAAATTACACATGGGAGAGAACGAAAATGGATTATTTATACATACATAATAATGGTTTAGTTTGATTAGGTTTTGAGATCATAAAAGATTGTGATGCAAATATGGCCAAAGAAATTTATGAATGAATACCCTATAAAAACGAAATGTGTTAAATTTATTTTAAATTCGTGTTCATGTGTAATAAATGTCTAAAAAAGCACCATTTTATCCGATTTATGTCTTATTACAAATAAACAAAAATTAAACATAATGGTGCTTTTTTAGACATTTATTACACATGAGCACAAATATAAAAAAATTTAGCACATTTCGTTTTTATAGGGATACAGTGATTTTAATGACTTTGTTTAAACAATTAATGATTTCACAGGAATTATGGATATCAATGATTTTCATGGCGCAAAAAATCACAAATTTTAACTAGGAACCATGAGATAAAAAAGAAATATTATATATTATAAATGGAATATAGAAATTAATAAAAGTTTGTGTTAATGAAGTTATAAATACTTTTTCTTTTATAATTTAAATTATTTTATACATTTAACATTTTTGTTTTTTGAAATAAAAACCTTTGTCTTCCACAGCTATTCTTAATAGATAAATCGCATATCATGTGATTGAATTTGTTTTATACTATTCTTCTAATTTTTTTCTTTTTCTTCTAATTCTTTCATGTATTTAGTGTAATCTTTTTGCAACTTTTCATATTTTTTTGCAAGAATTTCATAAATAGAACCAATAACATTTGTGATTAATATTAAAGAGCTTGTAATTAAAGTGAAAAAGGCCAAATTATCATAATCTGTTTCAATTGCCATGGCATATAGTATCTATAAAATAGAATAGACATTATTGATTATTAATATATAATAAATATATATATATATATATTTAAATATATCATAAATTTACCTGAATTAATAACTGAGGTATATCTTCAATAAAAATATTTGCAATTCCACCCCAAAATATCCAATATAATGCTTTTGGAGAAAATGGAGCATCAAATAATGAAATTCCTGCAAATTTTGAATCAAGTAAATGAAGTAATTCAACATTTCCTGAAGCAAATAATGTAATTATTCTAATAAAGATTGCATGTTCTTCAAACCAATCTTTAAATTTTGAATTCTTCGTTAATTTGAATATAAATACTTTAAAAGCTAAGAATGTATTTAGAAGTAATGGAACGACAACAAATATAATACTACAACAAACAAAAAAAAATATGAAATTAATTTAATTTTGTTAGTAGAAATTTAAAAAAAATTATAGTAAATACCTTGGAATTAAAAAACTTCGTAAATTGTATCTATTCTTTGTGACAAATGAAATATCATTTACAATATCAACAAAAATAAGAGTTATCTTAAAAAAGATAAAATTAGATCCCTATAAAAAAGTATAGTACATGTAAACATATAATATACATATTAATTTATTTCAATTTTAAAAAAATAATTATAACAACTTGAACATACCTCCTTATTCTTGAATCGACCGAAAATATATGTAGCAATCAACAGAAATATAAAAAATATTAAAAATGCTAAAAATATTCTATCTTTAATAAGCTCTTGTAAATTTATTCTAATATCGTCCCATAAGCTAGCTATTCAAAATTAAATCAAAATAAATTATTAAATCAAATACAAAAATGAATGAATGGTAATGACACTTACATGCTTCACGAGGTTTAAATTTTCTATCAATATGTTTTGTATAATCATTAGTATCCAAATATGTTTGAATATTATTATTGAAATCAAATAATTTAGTAAAATCATCAAAAACATGTTTTGCACTTTTTTTGTCAATATTATTGTTATCCGAAGGATCTATCTTAAATTTAATAAAAAGTAAATTCACTCTATCAATTTTATCATATTCAAGAAATTTACTTAAAATGTTTAATCTTAATTCATTAACAGGAATACTATGTGAAATCTCTTTGCCTATTTGTTTAATAAAAGATTCCTTTTCATCTTCATTAAGACTCTGATAATAGTTTGTACCATTAACAGTTAAATGTATAATTCCCACTAAATATTCTAAAAAAAATACATACATATATATAAATATAGTTCGAATAGATCAAAATAAATAATAAATTTACTTACTAGAATCGTCATCAGAATCGTAATTATTTGAATCCGGACCTATATAAGAAGATATATTAATAACCATAATCAAAATTAAATAGTCAACAACTTAAATATACGTGACTGTTTTTATCATCCAACTACCTTTCCTTATACCAGGAATCGTTTCACTTTCATTTTGATATCTCAGAAATTTATCATCAATTTCAACTGAATAATCAGCATTAGGGATTGGAACCGTCCAAAAAAACCTTAACCGGTTAAAAACCGGTTAACCAAGGGTCTTAACCGGTTAATAACCGGTTAATATTAAAAATATTTTAAAAACTTTTTTTACTGCAAATTGTACCAATTTTGGATTTTACTTGCATATTTAGTTATAATTTAGTTATAGGAAGACTATGTATCACTAAAATTATTATAAATAAATAGAAAAAAATTCAGCATTAAAACTTCAAGTTTAGGAACACGTGGCCGCAATTTACATGTCTCTGGGCCGCATTATATAAATCTGACTAGAATTATGGTAAATATAGTTTTAACCGGTTAACCGATTTTCAAAATCCTTTAACCGGTTAACCGTCTTAACCGGTTAATTAACCGGTTAACATTAACCGGTTCCAATCCCTAATCAGCATTTGGTGTATTAAAAGTAATATCAAGTAAATTAATGGTAAGTGAATAACCATTATCGCCTATCTCACAATATTGATCCGTACATAAAAGTGTTTGACGCAAAAAATATCTACCATCAGATTCTAGATGGATTGAGATATCAACAGCAGCTGTTAGATCAACAGTGTGAATAAATGTTAATTTAATTTTATCAGTGCCAACAGGAATCAATTCATTATCTGATGGATAAGTTTCTTTAATATGAGTATTATTGAATAAACCATATGAACCATCTATTATTAAATAAAAAGCATTAAAATATTGTTATAATTTACTGTAAATACTGTACGATTATGCTTACTTTCTTGATTTTTCTTAGGTATGGACGATCCTTTAGATAAAAAATTATACTCATTATCTTTTTTTAATATACGTACAATTGTATTATTCGGAAGCATAAAAGGGTCAATATCGATATCGTCTTGATTATTATTTACTACCGATTCTCCAAAAGCATTGTTTGGATCTCCATAATCAATATCAATATTCAATACAATATATTTGATGTATGCACGAGTTTTAACTTCTACTAAAAAGCCAATATTCGGCATGGTATAAACTTTAGCGGAATCAAAACAAATGGACTGGAATAAATTGGTTTGATTTGTTAAATTATTGTGTATATTAACCAATAATAAATCATTATAACTTGTAAATAAGCAATAATATTGAAAATTTTTATTAGCAGCACAAGCAATTTGTGATAAAATACTGGAAATTCTATCTTTATTTAATATTATGGGTGTTGGATTTTCGGTTTCAGGTGAAATAATTAAAAGCCGATAATTATAATAATCCGCATCTAATGTTTCCTTAAATATAATTCCCCATGATTTATAATCTAATGAGACGATTTGATTGATTGTCAACGATACAGGAATTTCTATACTTTTATTTATTCTTCCATCGACTATTTGTTCATTATCATTGATAGCGTATTCAATGCATAAAAGTTGTGTGGCATTTATTCCAGCTACAAAAAATCTTGTACCATTCATACTTGTACCAATAGCTTGAATTTGTGCATTTGTACTCACATTACTTAATATCTTATTCGTCCAATCCATTATCTTTACAGTTAAATTACGAGAAGTAGGAATATCTCTTGTTAATAATAGTAAATAATTTGGATTTAATGGACGTATATCAAGCAATTCATCGCAATTACATGAAACATCAATATGTTTAAATTCTCCATTTGTATTAAGGAAATGAAGCGTAATTTTAAGCTGACTAGCAAAATTAGAATTGAAGGATCTCTTCGAAAGCCCCGGTGACTTTACATCGCCAGTAGCGAATAAAATAGTTCCATCAGTGTAAGTTCCTAAAGAACTAGGAGGAACAGGTATAGGACCTTGTGGTGGTTGAGCAGAACATGGTAATAATAACTTAGAAAAAATTAGAAGTACGGTTAGTGTAACACCGAGACGAAAAATTGTACACATGGTGAATTTGAAGTTAAAAAAAATATATCCGGATTTTTTTTTTTAAAAGAGGTCAAATGAAAATTTCACGTTTATATAGAAAATTTCTTGAATATTATTTGATTATCCGTTATTAGAATCAGTACATAATGTGATGACTACCATATTTAATGGAAGTAACTATATCGGTCTTCGACCGATATAGCCCCGTTCAATATCTTTAATATCTTTATTATCGTTTAGTCATTAGACTAATGCATATTCTAAATTAATGTCGATCAAACTTAAAAAAAATGTTCAAATTCCGTACAGCCTTAATAGTCTTCTGTGCAATAATTAGGGATTGGAACCGGTTAAGGTTAACCGGTTAATTAACCGGTTAAGGCGGTTAACCGGTTAAGACCTCTCAAAAAACGGTTAACCGGTTAATTTAACCGGTTAAATTAACCGACTAATTAACCGGCTAACTTAACCGGTTAAAATACAGATCATCCTAAATTAGTAATTCCTAGCCAACTTCTAACTTTAACTTTACTAGCATTAACTTTAATTTTGCCCACCCTAATAGCTGTCTCTTATACACATCTAGATGTGTATAAGAGACAGGGTTAAGACCTCTCAAAAAACGGTTAACCGGTTAATTTAACCGGTTAAATTAACCGACTAATTAACCGGCTAACTTAACCGGTTAAAATACAGATCATCCTAAATTAGTAATTCCTAGCCAACTTCTAACTTTAACTTTACTAGCATTAACTTTAATTTTGCCCACCCTAATAGATTCGATGATAAACCTGCAATCTTATATTTTAATATAATATATTGCATATGATATTTATAATTTAACATTATTTATGTTAAAATATTCTAAAGTTATAACCTTGATTTATGCAGAAATCAGCATATGATCGGGTATAGTATTTTAAATAAGAAAAAATGCAAAAATTTGAATACTACAGTGGCCATCAGAATTGGAATGGAATTTCGGATAGAACTAAAAATATAATTAAAAAACTTTTCAACTTAATGCTGATACAGGTGACCACTGCATGACTGGGTAGTAAGTAATTACAATATACTGTATGTAATTTTTTACTAATGTATACATTTTAATATAAATATTATAATACTATTTAGTTAAAAACACAAAAATTTATCTTTAAACGCGCGTTAAAATACAAAAAATAGGCCTCTAAACACACGTTAAAATATAAAATTTATATATTAACCGGTTATTAACCGGTTAGCCTCATTACAAATTAACCGGTTAATTAACCGATTAATTAACCGACTATTAACCGGTTAGACGCTTTAATTAACCGGTTATTAACCGGTTAAGCTTTTTTTTGACGGTTCCAATCCCTAGCAATAATCTCGTGACAATTTAAATAATTCATATAATAAGTATCGAAGGTTATTCTATTCTTGATCGTTGGAAACAGGAAAAAAGTTGCAAAGCCATTACAGCCTTGTTCACTTCCGATTTTCACAAAATTTATTAGCCAATTAAAATCATTTAAAAATCACGGATCAGCGGATCAAAAAATTACAATAAACTTGAAATATCCCGTTCAAAACCAGCTGTAATAGAACAATTGTGACATCGTTTAACAACAAATTTTTAAATAACTTTAATGTAATAGAGTATTATATTTACATAGAGTTTCTTTTTTCTCACTTTACTGTTAACGAATCTATAAATTCAAAAAGAAAATAAGATATTTTCAATCGTGTTGTATTACTAATTATACACTTCCTTAAATAATACGTTATTCGGATCGGAGATATTATTTAAAAAAATTAGTAACAAGATGGGAAATTATTTATAAAGATCGACTAAACAATTAAATTGAAATTTTATTTTCAAAGTTACATTAAATACATAAGTTCGAGTTAAATGTTTTTGCCAAATGTAACCGGCAATATCACTGGGAAACGTCCTTTCGGACGACCATCTCCTATCACCCGATATCCTTACAATCAAAATCTTGACGATAAACGTGAAATTACCCACCTTTACCTCATAACCTGTGGAGATTGTGCCTGCTGCTGCGCCACACAAGACTGTGTGAGCTTTGAAGCAAGTTTTTGGAGTAACTTCTTACAGTAAAACTTGTTATTATCTAAAGTATTGAATAGTCTATGGCGCACAATATGTCTAGGTCTTCCATACATATTATGTAAGATTATCATTGTACGTATTGTTGGGTATCAGGGTATGTGACATTTGATATCTGATTTACGCAAGAATTTCGTTGTAACATTTTGTAAAATAATTAAGAAAAAAAAGGAAAGTATACAGCACTACAGCACGGCGCCTTTAATGTCAACATAGTTACTGATTCTATCCATAACTGTCATCGCATCGCGAAGGAATTTCAATGTGCACTAATTATATTATAGTTCTTATTATTCTGATTAATAGTGAAAATTATTATTATTATTATTAATTCAACATATACAATTTTTATAGAGGACGACAGGACGTGTAGACATAACTAAAAAAAATTTTTTTATATTACGTCGTTTCTGTTGAGTTCATCATCACGGTATCTTCAAAGGTATTTTACGGTATTATTACGAGTCATCTGTTTTTAAATCCGAAATTTTATTTAATTCCCATTTAATAAAATATTTATTTCACTTAGACCACGTCCATCACATGATTTTAAAATTCATTCGCTGAATCAGACAATAATCATGTATAATTAGAATGACATTTCAAAGATTACATTATATCTTTATTATTATAGAAATTTTTTATGTTAAAACTTATAAAACTATAAAATTGCAAACCAGAATAGTGAGTTAATACGCAATCATTAATTTATTTAAAATAATAAAAAACTTTTAGTAAAGTTTGATTAACTAAAATAAATTAAATAAATTTAAATTTTAAACGATAAAGAATATTATAATATTACTATTAAAGTTGGTGATGACCCTTATGTAAAAATATTTCGTGCTCATATGGTCATTTTATATTGATGTTCTTATTTATAAAGAATTTTGTCGATACATGAAATAATATTCACACCTTATAATAAAATTTTCCCTTTCCTCATAATCTTCAGCATAAATAGTATCCTCAGTATCTCCTATACCCTTAAAATTGGATCTTTAGATTAATAATTAGTCCTTTCATGAATTTTTTTATATGGACGACACAAAAAAATCTAATCAGAGGTATATACAACTTCAACCACTTTGAATCATTAACCGTCCAGGCATAAGGATCAGAAATGATAATTTGAGACCTCGCTTTAATACATCATCCCTTTTGATATGAAAACAAAGATCCTCAAGTAACGAACCCTCGGTGACCACACGCCAAAACTGAACTACCAAGTAATTTAATACTTTCTTGGGAAATTTAACTATATACAACTGAAAACTTTTGATGGTCAGATTCAAAGTGTTGTTCCAGCCATTCAGTATTGATTTCGATAAAATATTCCTGAAGAAGCTCGACCAGATCTTGTCCGCTCGATGATAAGAAAGTCACTATAAAATATACCTAAATTACAATTTTATATTAAAATTATGAATAATTATTATTTGAAAATTTGAACGTTATAAATTACTTACTCGAGATGACTTGAAAATATTTATTTGATAATAATATGAACCAAAATATTCTTATACACTTTTTATTGGAAATCAAAACTCGACATAAAAAAGAATAGTAATATAAAATAATCATATGTGCTCGAAAAATTTTTACGTTCGGATTCTCACCAACTTCAATAGTAATATAATAATTTTCATTATTTTCCAAAATTTTCAATATACTTTAATTTTGAAAAAAAAAAAATTTTTTTTCGTAAATAGTCGGTAGTTTCTTGTAATGAAATTATGTAAAATCCAGGAAAAAAAAAATGTAAACGAGAGTGATGACAGAAAATACTTTAATAAATTAATATAATATGGATTGCATTTTTTCAAAGTTATCGTTAATCAATTAAAAAAAAAAAAGAAAAAAAAAAAAAAAAAAANAAAAAAAAAAAAAAAAAAAAAAAAAAAAAAAAAAAAAAAAGATATAAATAGGTGAACATGATCATCATTGATCAACGTTACATCGAATGTTTTACAACATGTGATAAATTTTAACAGCTTGATCTACTACCGCAGTAAGGATATCGTTTTTTTGTCACATCAATAATTAACTATGTCGTAAACGACAATATTGTCATTGAATAAGGGATTAACGTGACCATAAAATTAACACCATTGTTCATGCAGAAATAATCCAAGAATTTCAGAAGAAAACGTTTCCCTTTACTATGTATATCGCGTAAATAATTAATAGGGCCAACAATATATAACTAATATTCAACACCAAGATTCCCACAATCTGTATCCATTCCAAGGTGAAAGAGGAATATTAAAGAGTAAAGAACGAGAAGAATGTATTATGCCTTGTCCAAAATTAAGGAAACAGACACCCATTAAGGCTGATGAACTAATGATGGTCAGAACTAATAATGATAGTGTCAGTGTCATAAATAGTGTTATTTTGTTTATAAGTTTTTTTCTTTCATTTCTCAATTCAAGATGAATCCAGTGGCCATGATGTATCTGGTGGCCATGATGAATCTGCCGACCATGATGAATCTGACAAAATTAATCTACTCAACAAAGTTAACCTTCGTTGATCAATTATTTTTTGAACTGCAAAATAAAATTAAAATTACTGTTTATATATCCATTTAAAAAGTAAACCTTTATTACTACTTTGTTTATTTGTACATACTTGAAAAAATGAATGAAAAATATGATTAATAGTAATTTGGAATACTAAATATTCCATTGCTATTTCTCTCATATGAATGGAGATGGTGAAAATAATGATAATAGAAATAGATTGGCGACACAAATTTTACTATATACAGTAATCAGGAAATTGGGTGATTTGGAACATCCAAATCTTTATGTCACACATTCGTTTCAAGTTTATTTTTTTCCGTTAGCGCGATCAATCACATTGTGAGAAAACTAATTGAAAAAACCTAACAAAGTTAATAAACTGAAATGAAAGTGAAATAAAGATAAAATCAAATTTTAAAACAACTACTAACCTTTTTGACAGGATAAAGAATATGAGACCCAATCTTTATTCCTTAAAGTTTACAAGACCGTTTCCTACAAATAAAAAAAAATATTAATAATATTCTCTAAACGGAAGTCCACTTTTTATTAATGCTCACTATCCAGCATTCCGTTTCTCAAGTTGTCTTTAAGTCGACTCTAGGAAAATACAGAGAAATATTAATAATGTTCAGAAGCTTAATATTGTTCCAAAACTGCGATTTCTGTAATGTTATAAAAAACTTACAATGTATTTTGTTTTAAGAAAATCCAAAAAAACCTAAATTTTTTAATTAATAGTAAAGATAAAGAAGATAATCACTGGATCAGAATTAGTATACTGTTACGCGAAATCTTGCTCACATGATTTCCGACGATATATGACGATCCGATATGAATACAGTACATTTGTGTACATGTCGATTTCTGATATTATGTGCCGATTTATATCGATATACAACCGGTGATTTGTGTACACCAGATTAACCTAATAGAAGATATTGATTTTATTTATTTTATTTTATTATATTTACATAAGTAGTATTATTATATTATTCATATTATTATTGTTTATATTATTTATTTTCTTTATTTGTATTGTTTATATGTATAAGATTTTATTAGAAGTTATTGTGGGGAAATTAGCAATAGTAATTAACCGTCCAAAATTATCATTTGTACTTTATTAAAGTGGCTTATAATCATATTGATATATTATGATATCTCACGATGAAACTTAACAATAGGAAATCAATAACCCATTAATAGATATCTATAGATTAGATTTCACCTTGATGACAGAAAAAGAGATGATAGTTAGCTATAAATATACCTTCTGCCAACTCTTTGATAAAGAAAATATCTCATAGTTATTTTCCGTAATTGTCTTATAGTAAAATATCTTTAAGATATATTTCCTATTCCTTTCTATCACTTTTTATCACTTTGTTGTAAAAACCCGAATTTACACTTATTTAATAAAATCGTTATATGTTGGTCAATATTACCCGTTGTTTCTAACAGTCACATAACATTTGTTATTGTAACCATTGCGTATTATTATTTATCGTATTTTGTAGTTGTTTATCTTGACGATTCTTAACGAACAATACCGGAATACCAGGATAGGTAGTATTGAGTAAGAATCCTGTTGATAATCGAGTGTTTATACAATATAATATCGCTAGTTATCCAACTCTTAATTACCGTTATTACCGGTAACAATACTTTACGTTATTCAACAATACTGACTCTTTGATATAAATCCAGAAAAAATGTGAAAATATTTAATATATAAATAATAAAGTTTTTTAAAAAATACCATTAAAATAATTTTTACTTTATGATTGGTTCATTTATGAATTTTACAATTTCACAAGTTGATTAAAGAAAAAACGTGATATTTTTTTAGTAGTTCTAAGAAAAAAATGAGAATAACACACTTGCCAATAGTCAACATGATTCTTCCCCCAAACAAAAAAAAAATAAAAAAATTCTGAAAATGATACACCACCTTAAAAGTATTGAAGGTTATTTGCTAATGCTGGCGTGGTAATTTTTTGACATTTTCATTCCTAAACATGTTAAGTTTGTAATAAAATTAAATTTTTCATTAAATTTCTGAGAAAAACTATGATAATTGATGAGATCATATTCAGATTTTTTTGTTAATAAAAACTGGTAACAGATTTTTTTCTAATAAAAACCTAACTTATAACTCGATTTTAATCTTAAGCTTATTTGAGAATATACAGTTAATATATATTGACTATGAAAAATGATATGTAAAATAAATAACAAAATAAATGATATAATTGATAATCATAATTAAAATGAAATTAATATGAAATATAAAGAATTTAGTAAAGTGCGTAATGATTACCATTTACTTTTATTATTATTTCTTTTCATTTTTAATTAGAATAAAGAAATTAGAAAGATATGCATCTTTCAATCTTTCACGGGCTTTATTCCTTCATATTGTAGGTTTACAGGAATAATTATAATCTTACTAATTAATAATTTGATTTGATTTGTTAAAAAAATACTGTAAATTGGGGATTCTTTGTTGTGAAAGTACGACCTTAATATGGAGGATAGTGACACACATATAATTACAGTAATTTACAAGTTGATATTTCATTCATATATTCATTCGAACCAAAATTATAATTTCGCACTAAGTTTCAATCTTGAACCTTATTTAGTCTAGATTCCAACTCGCTGAAATGTTTGATTTTGAGATTCGTCCCTGTATAATAAATAGATTATATAGAAGAACATCTTTTTCATTTCTTTTTTCATTTCTTTTTTTTAAAATTTTCATTTTTTTTTTTCTTTTTCAGTTTTTTTTTTCAAACTGAAATTTTTTTTTTGTTTTTTCTATTTTTCCCCGTTTAGATTTGGTTTTTTTCCCCAAACCGAAAAACTATTATTATTTTTTTTTAAATAACCTTATTGTTTCGGTCTTTTAAGAAAGATTTTTTTTTATATTATTTCTTTTTTTTTGGTACTTATTTTTTTTCGGATTCCCTTTTTTTTGAAAATTTCCCTTTAAACCAATTTCTTTCTTTATCCTTTTTTTTTCCCCAATTTTTTTTCTTTTTTTTTTCTTTTTCTTTCGAATTTTTTTGTTATTTTTTCTTGAATACATTCTTTCACCATTTAGGTTTGGATCAATGCTGCGGCGTCACGGTTATTACCTTTTTTTTATAAGTTTTAATATTTTTTAGGCTGTATCAAGCTCAATAATAGACTAATATAATTACTTATTTATTTATTTTTTGTAACAATCGATCGTTTATAATTAATATTAATAATTAATATTAGTGCAACAAGTCACTGCGACTTCGCAACACTAGTTTGATTAAAAAGAAAGATATGATTATACCTTCTGATAAATAAAATCTTGAATAATTATTTATTAATAAAAAAATTGCTATGATATAAATAATTCTTTTAAATTTTCATAAGCTAGTTAGTTTAGAGTCGCTATCCCACGATTTTTGCAAAGCTACAGTATATGGAATATGGATAGGCCGATAGGGTGGGTCGTCATGCTAAGTATCGAACGTACAGTACTGAACAAAAGATTCATATTTTGGAATTAAACACAAAATTCATTTTGTTTATAAACTAGCAGTCGTCTGTTGCTTCCAGAATGAATTATGTACATATAAATAAGTATACATAAATAATATAGTGACTATGCGTTAAAAAATTTTTTTTATTTTACAATTAAAATATTGGTTTATATAATAAATAATTTTCATTTTGTACTTTAATACTTTTTCCAGGTGTACTCCACATCGGAAATAGCGCGTTGATATATAACACTTATTTAAGGTTTTTATATATCTCTGCCGCAGAAAGATCATGTAATAATGTGATAATTTTTTATATATTGCAAAAAAAAAATATTATATTTTTTTAACGTGAATACAAATCAGGGATAAGGTTTTAAGAGGAAATTTAATTAAAATATTTTAATATTTTTTTCAAAGTAAATCACTTTCCTAGAAAAAAGTAATCTAAATTATGATTACATCATAAGCAATTGATAATAAAATAATGAATATAAATATACTGTCATGACTTTATTAGTAAACGCATCTAATATAAATAA